AATTATGATGTCTATTTTCCTCAACGATTCAAGAAAAGGGAATTAGCCATTTGTCTAATGATCAGACTAATAAAATACTATTTATACTGTCAAAGGTACATAAATATTTTGTAATAGAGAATTGATAAAATAAATTACACTACTTATATATGATGGCACACTACGCAACCATTATAAAAATCCTATTTAATAGAATATATCTTTTAAAAGAAGAAAATGGAGACCATAATATTTGAAGTAGTATTCCAATTTTAGAACAACAAATGTATGTGTTTATATGTAACTATAGCCAAAATTTTTAAATTTTAATTTCTGCATTTTTCGTATCTGTTTTCCAGAATTTTCTAAATAGCATGCATTGTTCTTACAGAGAAAAGTTCTAATTATAATTTTAATTCCGAGTCACTAGTCCATACTTATTTTAATTCCAAAAAATATCTTTATTTTGGTCACAAATACATGCATTTGTGTAGAGTTAGTCAGCAAAGTCTGATTAATTATGTAAAGTGATTTTTTAATCCATCATTTAAAAACATCATACAGCTCCCATGAACTTAAAGGTCAAAATTCATAGTATGTCAGCCAAAGTATACCATTCAAACTTTATTTCCACTTTTTCTTATCTCATTTCAGATCATTCATTCTCAAAATCTAGTACTTGTCTCCCTTTTCCCCCACTGGTTCTTTTGCTTCTAATGGGTAGAAGTGGCATAGGAGGACTTAAAGAAAAAAAGCAGAGCAGAGTGGCAAAAGCTCAAGTGATAGTGTATCTAAGGAAGTTCCAGTGAAAATTTACTTTCTGAACTGAAAACAATGTGCCCAAACTGAACTTCAGAAACCATACTCTTGGTACAACCAATAGTATAGAACAAGGGTGAGCAGGGCCTTTTTCAGAGTGGCAGTTATATGACATTTTGTGCAGAAAAAGACAGGGGGCACAACCATACAAAGAATGAAGAGGAGGCCTAATAGTTGGAAGTAGTCAGTGAATGAGAAATTTCAAAGGCCACCGTGTCTCCTTCCCTAAACTCTTGCTTAGGTACTTCCCCCGAATTGCTGATCCAGGAAAATTCAACTCATTCAGTGATGAGCGATGATAAGGAACTGGGTATAGCACTGAACAAAGATTCTCCACGAAAAATGTAAGAAGAATTAGTAAATTCTACCCATAGATGAAAAGCATGCACCAGAAAAAGTTTACCAAAAAGCCGACGAAAAAGGTAAAGCCAGTCAATAAATAAAGAAACAATAGAAACTTAACAAAATATATTCCACATGATGGGAAAATGCCCAGGAAAAGTGTAGGAATAAGATTGACATAGCTTGTGCAAGAAAGGCAGAATACTGTGGGAAAGACAGCAAAGGACAGGGGATAGTTAGGAGAAAAAATAAACAAAAACTAGAGTTAAAATAGCTTCAAGAGAAAGTGATAAATATAGTATGCAAAGAAGTTCTGCCATAACCAAAATTAATTTCCCAAGAAGAGAAAAAAAAGGAAGAATTTTTCTCAAAGTTATAATTCAAGACAACTTTGATTAAATAAAAAATGATTTGAATCTACATATTGAACAAACGCAACATTCTCTGAGCAAGTTGGGGGGAATTAACTCAGAGTGGTCAATTTTGGTTGTTGCTTATTAAAATTATTGGATTTTAAGGACAGAGAAAAAACTGGGGTTCCAATCAAAAAAGGATGAGTCAGAATGAAGAGATACCAGATTGGCTTCAAATTTATCAAATGTAACCATTCAATGACAGAGACTAACATAGAAATACCTATGTTATACTGAAAGAAAGAAAACATGATACATGAATTTCGTCATTGGGTAAGTCAAATTGTTTAAAGTTTACTGGTTTTAATCAAGGAAGAGTTCAACTAATATTTTTCCCATGAATTCTTCATTGCCTGAGAATGAACTTAAGTCAGACAGGAGATGATTGGGGAAATTGATAAAAAGCCATGTCGTGACTATTGAATGTATTTGATTATAAGACTGAGATTAAACAAATGTGGAGATTAAGGTGACAGAACAAAATAAAAGAAAATGCTATATGAAAATATAAAAATGAACAACTGAACAAATGGGGGTATAAAGTAATTTTGCTGATTATAATTTACACTT